TGTGTAGTAAGTTTATCATTTTACTCTTCTATATCAAAATCACAAGATCTGACAAATCCTGATTCTTGTGAAAATCGCGGTCATCTTACAGGACACCGATTGATTGTGTAAGGCCCTAGTGGACACTGAGAGTACTGCAGCTCACTGACAGGCGTCAGCATGATAATGATAACGTTGTCTCCTCCCCCTCAGGTAAATATGCTTCTCCCCTCTCGGCTCCTGAGATCTTCAATCAACATGTTTCTGTGACTGAAACTGAAAATGAGTTGAAGTTCTCGTTAGAGACAGACGTGTTCCTGAACTGACGTGCTAATGTCAGAAAGCATCACTGATTTTAAAACAGGACATGAAAAATGTGTTTTTATGGCATAGTGGTAGGGCTGAGCGATATGGCAAAAATAGAATATCACGATTTTTCCAATATTTTATCACGATTTTTTTCCATGAATAGCATAACTTCAATTGCGTATTAAAGAAGAGAAACATTGAATAAATAAACATTTATTCATATTAGGGATAATCAGCACGGTGCTAACACACTTATATTTTAAACTCACACCAGAGATGATAAAAGCCCTGAGAGAAACAATTACAAAAATCAGTTTTTCTCGTTTTTCAAGTAACTTAACATAAATTAAAATCGTAAACATATTTAAAGTGCAAACATGTCAATTGCAAACGTATTGTGCAAACATGAACTTGTTCAAAATACTATGTAGCTCCCAGTTGCTCATGTAGTGGATAGTTAAGCTCAAATACGGCTCTGATGTGCGGCTGGACCAGAGATCGCTTGTGGTAGCAAAAAACTGCGCATTCTGAATATTTTCTGCAACAAGTCTCTAAATAAAGTAAAATTTTCCAGTGCATATTGGAGACAACCCATAGAAGCACTGATTTGATCTCATTTCAGAGAAAAATAGAACAGGTTAGATGCACCTAATAAATAAAATTACTAACAAACTCAGGAATCTTTCTTTGCTTCACTGTTCTGGTGCTGAAAATATCACTAATGTGGATCAAAGGAGATACACAGATGAATGCACCTCTTATTTATTATTTGGAGACTACATTTACTGCAGCTGGCAGAGGCAGAGATTGTTTCTATTGATACACGGATTTACAGAATCATTTTAAATGTTAATAGGGGAAGACTGCAGGAGGGAGCGGTAAAATAGGGGGTCCCCAACAAAAACAAGAAACTACAAGTCTGATGAAACCCGCTGGATTTCCATCAGGCAGTCACGGGGCAGCTCCAACGACCTAGCTCAGTCCGGCTCGGCAGAGGGTGAACGAGCCGAGGCGGCGGCGTGCTCTGCTTAAGAAGCGGTGTTATTTTCCTGCTTCAGAAGAAGCGTCCAACGTGTTTTTACGCTTTCTCCGAGACATGTCACGTCGCTAAGTTGTTAGCGCCGCGCGCTAAGGAAACCCTGCGTTCCTCTTCGGAACGAAAACCTCGTTGTCGCTCTCAGCCGCGGCCGAAGCCATGTTTGTTCACACACAGGTGAAAACAAGCGGGGCGCTAATATATTACTATGACTCACTCTGATTGGTTAAGGGTCAAATAAAGGCGTGCCATTCGCCTGAGGTAAGTTCCCTTTTCATTCAGAGGCAGAAATTCAACAGCAGAGCTGTGAATCGTGATAAAAAGGTCTCTCAAAAATGACAGACCGTCAGATGTGTAGATCGTAAAACGGTCTAAAATCGTCATATCGCCCAGCCCTATAGTGGCCTTGTGGAGGGGGCCATCTTACCCATTTTACTTTCTTTAACATAGAATGTGCTACTACTAGTTCACTTGTTTAATTAACTATAGACTCTAACTATAGGTACTTCTGGTCCTGAGACACAAACTATCTGTTGCAATGTAAGCTTGATCCTAATTCCACGCAGCGGCCCGACAGAGATTCGTCAGTGTGAAATCATCATATTTCTAAAAAGAAAACCGGGCTGGGAAGATGAAGAGCCTCTAGAAAAACGACGCTCTGAGAGAGTCCAGGTAACTTTGGAAGCTGATACTCACAGGAAAGACTCATTTGTCACCGCTGTCTGAAAAGCCATGTGTGATTGCTAAAAGTGTGTATGTGGAATTATAAGAATGTGATGAACTCTGATTTTGTGGGCGAGTGGGGCGGGGGGAGGGGGGGGGGGGGGGATCTGAGAAAAGCTTTGAAGCATCATCACCGCTCTCTTGGACAGGTCTGCCCGAGAGAGCGGCTGTTTTTCTCCCCCGTCTCTCCACAGCCGCGTTTGACCACTAAACGTTCTCCCACTCCGAGCACATGGTGATTATGGTGGATCCGCATGATGACATGTCAGTGACGTTATGAAGGGCACAACGAGTCAGACTGTTAGGATCAACACAACCCTGCGGCCAGCTGTTACTATAACAGATTTTGTGAGTCTGCGAGCAAGCAACGCACGATTTAAGAGCAGCGAGAGAGACAAAATCATTCGTCACCAGTGGTTTCACCTGTCTGGTACTGAAACTGATGACAAATCTGTGAGGCGTCGTTCCGTTTGCGTGCTCATATTTGTTGGCATGTGAGTCGATGATGTCATGAGAGAGAGCTTCTCCTTCCCTCAGCCTCCCCTGCAGACATTCGCTGACATTACAAACACACACTGTTCACTTGTGTGAACACGCATGTTTTTGTTGCATTTATTTTCTGCACGCAAACAGGAAAACAGATGTCGTCATCATCCACGCCTGTCGTCCACCCTGATGAAGCCATGTGCATAAAAGCATGTATCTACTCATCGGCCATGTTATTAGTACTGGGTTGGGCACGCTTTGGTTTTCTAACTGTTTTAAGTCTTCATGACATCGATTCATCAGGACTTGGAAACATTTCTCAGAGGTTCTGGTCCATATTGACATGACATCATCACACCGCTTCATCCATGATGAAAGTCTCGTTCCACCACATCCCAAAGAGTCCAGTGAACCGGTCATGTTCAAGAACCCAGTTTGAGTTGATCTGAGCTTTGTGACATGTGTGTTATCCTGCTGGAAGAAGCCGTCAGAAGATGGGTCCATGTGGTCATAAAGGGATGGACATGGTTAGCAGGTAGGCTGTGGTGTTTAAACCAAGTTTGGGTGGCACTAGGGGGTCCAAAGTGTGACAAGAACATCTCCCCCGCACCATAACACCCCCATCACCATGTTGACGCATTGATAGAAGGCAGGATGGATCTATGGCCGGACCCCAAGGGCTGGTATCCAGCACGTTTTAGTTTTAACTGCTTCAACACACCTGATTTCAATCAGCAGGTGATCAACAGGCTTCTGCAGAGCCTGATGAGCTGCTGCACAGGTGATTCAACCACTGGATCATGTGTGTTGGACCAGAGAAATCACTAAAACGTGCTGGACAGCGGCCCTCGAGGCCCGAACTTGAATAGCCCTGATCTATGCTTTCATGTTGGTGACACCAAATTTTGCGCCGACCATCTGAATGCAAATGAAATCCAGACTCTTCAAACCAAGAAAAGTTTTTCCAGTGACTTCTGGTCCAGTTCTGGTGATCCGGTGAGGTCCTCTGCTGCTGCAGTCCATCTGCAGGTGTTTGTGGGTTCAAATCCCAAATCTGATGTTCGTTAACTTCAAAGTTCACTTGGGCTGCTGCCATGATTACAAATTTTTGTTAAAAAGCGATCAACAGGTGTACCTGACATAGTTGCTGGTGAGTGTATGACTTAGCCTTTATTTGGTCTGGAAAGCCAAGTCTGAGCAGAAATCTGGCAAGACGGAGGGTTTATTCTGCTGCTAATCAGCTCCTTGGAAAACTCAATCAAGCATCAGATGCTGCAGATTACTCGTTCTCCCCCACCCTCTTCCTTTCTCTGTTTCACTCCCAATAACTTCCTTTTCTCTATGAATCACTCCATCTCACCCCACCTACATGCCTTTCCCCAATCACACATCCCTACTCGTCTCCCCCCCCCCCCCCTTGTCCTCTTGTACAGGATGTTGAGAAGTTCCAAACATCAAATCTTGAGTTTTATTTTGTTTATCATATCTGATATTACTGCTAATGCCAGCTCCCTCTTTTGTCCGCCAGTGTGTGTGTGTGTGTGTGTGTGTGTGTGTGTGTGTGTGTGTGTGTGGGCAAGTTCTTGGATCAAACACAGCATCAGACCAGCCCATAAACAATCCTTCAGGACCACTTAGAAGTTAGAAGTCAGTGTTGGTCGGGGCCATGGAGAGAGGGAGTCAGGTACAGAAATCAGCTGCTCTGTTTATGTACCTTTCAGTGGTGATTACCGGTCCAATCCGTCTGTTTAACTGAGAAAATATCGTGGCTTCACAGAGTGCGTGTGACTAGGGTATGCACACAGTACCGTTGCACTGGTTTGCTTGGAACCGAAGCACTGCTGCTACAGTGTTTATTTACTTCCACGTACAACCTTAACTGAGCAGAGTGAAATCAGAGGACCACCGCAGGCCTGAGACAGAAAAAAAAAGCCCGAGGATATGTGTCAGACATACTGTGCCGCCTTGGCACTCTTTCTGCACAGCACAGGAAAGGCAGTGTGTAAGCGGGCTGGTAGACCTACTGGAGGAAGAGGCAGCATGCAACAGGAAACATGTTTGCACGGCAGTTTATAGAAAAGAGTTGAATAAGCAACATTATATTCTCCAAACATAGCTTTAATGACATTACCTGCGTAGGATTGTGTCATGCGTGTGTCACTGGGTCTGAATCAGGGAGAATATTCTAATGACCTTCTTTTAAGGATTTTAGGTTGCTGTTTCAACAACACACCACCAGATGGCGCCAAAGTCCCTGACCTTAATGAAATGAGATCACCCAAAAAAATGGCTTGACTAGTTAGTATTGACTCATTATTATAGATTGTATAAATCAGGTCTGATGTTATTTACATATTGTTTGAAGTATCTGGATTTAGAAAAGCCTTATTAGCCTGTTAGTGAGTTTATGATCCTAATTCCCCCCCCTCCCCCGCACCGGAAGCTGCAGCTAAAGCCGAGGCTGGAAACTGCGTCACACGGCTAAGCAGCGGAGGAGAGAAAGCTTGAGCAGCCCGTCTCCGACTACTCCCTCTCTGTGTGTGTGTGTGTGTGCTGCTTCGCACTCACCAGCTGACGCATCCGGACCACCATGGTGAAGATAGCGTTCAACGCGGCTCTGGCGCAGAAGGCGCAGGGCAAAGAGGTGCCGGCTGCGGCCGTGAAGGTGAGCTAACGGGACCACGGTCGTGGAGGCTGGTGTCTGCTTCCAGCCTGGCAGCAGGCCTGTGCAAGCAAGGCGCCGGCGCACACTAAAAATAGTCACCATCATTATAATGTTCAGGACGTGTCTGGATGATTCTACTTGGTGCAGGTTTGTAATTCTACAGATGCATTCTTACCGAAACGTTTTTAGGGATTTAGCGCCTGATGCAGGACGGGACCGCCCATCTTCCTAACAGCTGCTGCTCTGCAGAGGGCAGAGATGCAGGAGGGTTTAAAATTAAACGTGCACCTGATCTAATAAGGACGTATAACATGCATGCATGCATCAGTTTGATCACGGCTTCATTTGTATTTGTGTGTGTGTGTGTGTGTGTGTGTGTGTGTGTGTGTGTGTGTGTGTGTGTGTGTGTCCAGGATCCTGAGCTGGCTTCTGCTCCTGCAGGCACCGAGGGCTCCACAGGTCGCTGCCTGCTCACCCTGCTCGGCATTGCCTTCATCCTCAGTGGGCTCATCGTGGGGGGAGCGTGTCTTTATCGATATTTCACCCCAAAGGTTAATTAATCATAAGTTATTTAAGGCACGGCTAATATAACTCTAAACTATATGCATTTGCCCATAAGTGTATTGTTTCATTTTATAAGCTGCATTACCAGAAGCCATTATTTAACCCAGAAGGTGCTATTAAAGTAACACTAAATATTTTTTTTAAACTTTAAGCTAAGTTTTAACATCGATCTCAGTGATTGTTGGGTAAGAAACTTGACCGGTTTCATATTTGACACCACTCTGCATCCCTCTGCAAGCCACATACTGCACTTAGCAGTTTTGTGGAGGGGTAGCTGTTCTGGGAGGTGCTCTTATACATGCATTACGGTTGTTAGCTGTTTTCTGTGCAGATAGGTTTTTCACTTTGCTGATCGTAAATAAAAACCACCAGAAGAAGAAAAAGAAGAAGTTGGCTTTACTGTTGGCATCATGGCAGATCCAAAAGTAAAAGTAAGAGAGTAATGTCGTAATGCATGTATAAGAGCACCCCCTAGAACGCCTACCCACTCCACAAAACTGTTAAATGCAGCATCTGGTCAGCAGAGGGCTGCAGAGTGGTGTCAAATATGAAACCCGTCAAGTTTCTAACGCAAAAATCACTGAGATCAATGTTAAAACTCTAACTTAAAGTTTAAAAAACAATTTAGTGTTACTTTAGCTTATAATAATTCTTCTTCAGGGTTCCACCATGATATTGGCTCATCATATAGAGTTATGAGTCAAAACATTTCATTCACTTCATCTTGTGATTTGACTCACTGATGATCCTACTGACTTCTTAGCAGTTTTGTTGATTACTTTTCTATCAGGGCAGGTTTGCGCTGCTCTAATACAGAGCTTACCGGCTTTAAATGAGCCTAGTATAAGCCTAAACTGCCATTAATTTATTATAATTGATACTATTTAATAGCAAAACATCTGGCTGTGTCTTTGCAGCTGTAAAGTCCTTGGTAAACTCATATCTCTTGTCTGATGATGTGTTTTCATATGGGATAATTATTGTGGGTTTTCCTAAAGTTCCTTTTAATCACGCATGAAGTCAGACATTGGCATTCACATTATAACAAATTTCAAGACTTTAAAATGTAAATTACTTTAAATTAAATTACTGATGTTTTATTCCATGATTACTTAAAACCTTTCCACATTATGGAAGTCATATGAGCAGACCAGAGAACTCTTAACACACCACACATGGCAGGAACATCTGACAAGATTATTTTTAAAGCGATAATGGTAATCAGGCATGTACAATTAGCATACGGTGAAAAGGGCATAGTCGTGTCAAAAATCTGTATAATTATCCTGCCGTGTGAACTAGGGATGTCCCATACCAATATCAGTATCGGAAGTAATTCGATATCGGCCCAGAAACACGGCATCGGATTATATCGGACTGCATCAAAAATCTCCGATATAAGCAGTCCATCAATGTTCACAGTTTTGCAACCAATGGTTAAAAATAATTTTTTTTGTCATACTTGCTGTTATTTTCTCCTGTTCGCCTATTGAGTAATATCACTTGCTTTTCATACATTCCACACTACCAAATAGGTAAAAGTATGTATGACTTGAGCTGATATTGTATTGGATTGATATCGGTATCGATCAATACTGAAGGCTGCAATATTGGTATTGTATCGAAAGTGAAAAAGTTGTATCGGGACATCCCTAGTGTGAACCTGGTCTTCTTCTCTGTCCTGGGTCATTTACAACAATAGGAAATTCGATGGGGGCTTGGATAGATCCTTGAGGAACACCTGTGGGTTTTCTGAGGGACATTCTCGCACCCAAAGTGTCAAAATATGATGCGTGTGACCAAGCGTCACAATATGACAATTCGGGATGCCCCAGCGCGTCAGGAGACGACGATCAGGGACACGTGGCTCCGCTGGTGTCAGTGTTTGACGCCCGCGGTCACACAGACATAATTCGAATATTTAACCTTCCCCTCACTCCAATCCTAACCTTAAGGTCAGTAACTGTGACCTTAAGGTTAGGATTGGGGTGAGGGTAAGGTTAAGTAGTTCACAAGTCATTCTAAAGTCCGTCTCACCACCGGCATCGGATACCGTCGCTCTGGGACGGTGCGTCGTCGTCGTCTCCTGACGCGCCGGGGCATCCCGAATCGTCATATATCGACGTTTGGTCACACGCGTCATATTTTGACACTTTGGGTGTGAGAATGTGTTGCAGAGGCTGATACAGTTTCTAAGGAGACAGTTTGAGTTCTGTCAGATGAATAATTCAGTTCAGAACCACTGAGTCATGTCAACAGATTTGACTGTACTGCTTATTTATTGCTGACTATAGCTGTCACAGGACAAGAGTATGAACACAAACCAATAAGGCATCAGTTCTTGCACATGTGATTTGAAATCAAACGACCAGTCAGCATGGCATGAGTGGTTTTTATCAACAGCTTTCTGTTCTTTTTTCTTTCTGCTGCCACTTTGATCAGAGCCGTGCTGTAGGAGTTGGGTGTTGTGGGTTTTTGGGTGGAATTTCTGTGACTGGTCGTGACTGCTGATCAAACACTCCTCCTCATGCCTCGGTGCTGACTCTCACACACTTGTGACTTGTGGAGATAGATCTGGCATCTCTTTTAAAGTTTTGTTTCTTCTGTGAAAGAGTCTCACATTCAGTAGGCCACCGAAGCATTGAGAATCTGTTAAAACAACGTCTGAAGAAGTCTGTTAATTCAATTGTAAATACAGCTTCAGTCAAATTCAAGTGTGTTTGCATTAGCTTTTACTCAACCAACATATTTTACTGATCAGACCAAAGTGAAGCCTGTAAAGAGAGTGTGCAGTTTTTACCATTGATCTCTGATGACATCCAACGAAATGTTAAAAAAGCATAAAATGATGTTCAATTGTTGAAAAATATTGGCGGTAGATTTATAATGTTAAAAATATCTGTGTAGAATCAAAGCTTAAGTATCTTCAGCATATGCTGTCCAAATATTGATGACCCTTCATTCTCTCGTAATTTTTTCTCTGTACTCTCCGAACACTTGGACTGTCCACTTATACTTGGAGGTGATTTTAATTTTTGGATGGACCCTTTAACAGACAGGCTCAGCACAGCTGGGACTCAGCGCGTTTGGCAATCCACTAATATAGTTAAACAGTACATGAGTGATTATGGGCTTTGTGATGCATGGCGATCTCTTCATCCTAACCGTAGAGAGTATACTTTTTTTCACACGTCCATCACTCTCATTCACGTTTGGATTATTTTCTAGTCAGCAGCTCATTGTTTTCTGACATTTCAGACACTGAGATACATCCCATAGCTGTCAGCGACCATGCTCCGGTTTCATTAACTCTGGTAAACAAGAAGACAATCCCACCGAGCAAAAACTGGAGGTTTAATACATCACTGCTTAAAGATGAAGGTTTTATAGAATTTTTTTAAAAGGAGTGGGCTTTATATTTAGAATATAATGACCTGCCTGGAACATCAGCATCTATTCTTTGGGAGGCAGGAAAGGCAGTGATGAGAGGTAAAATAATCTCTTTCTCATCACATAAGAAAAAAACAGAAAACAAACATATTCAGGAGTTAGAGGAAATCATCAAGTCTTTAGAGGCATCAACAGAAGAAGAGTCAATGAGCAAATTACGTAAATCTAAATTAGAACTTCATGGAATTATTGACAAAAAGACACAATTTTTAGCAAAGACTATGAATAGAAAACTTTGAACATAGTAATAAATCAGGTAAATTCTTAGCTAGCCAATTATAAATAAATAAATAAAGAGAAAACTACCATATCTGCTGTTAAAGACTCAACCGGGAATATAGTTTATGACCCTGAAAGAATAAAAAACACTTTCAGAGACTTTTACCAAACTTTGTACTCACCACAGATAAACCCATCAGATAACGAGATCAATGAGTTCCTTGACAGGATAACACTTCCTAAATTATCAGACAGCCAAGTTACGGTCCTGGACTCGCCACTAACATCAGCGGAGCTCCAGGAAGCCCTTAAATCCATGACTAATAGGAAAGCTCCAGGTCCAGACGGGTTCCCAGTAGAATTCTACAAAGAATTCTGGATCATTCTGGCTCCAACATTTTTCAGAATGGTGAGGGAAATCAAAGAGAGCGGCAGGTTACAGCCAAACATGAATTCAGCCAATATTAGTCTCTTGTTAAAACCAGGCAAAGACCCAGCATTTCCTACCAGCTATCGCCCAATTTCCCTTATTAATGTTGGTCTCAAAATAATTTGTAAAGCCCTGGCAAAAAGATTAGAGAAGGTAACCCCCTTCATAATACACCCTGACCAAACTGGTTTCATCAAGGGTAGACAGTCATCCACAAACTCACGTAGATTACTTAATTTGATAGATTTCTCTTACAGTAGAAACATAGAAACTAGTATATTATCTCTAGATGCAGAAAAGGCTTTTGATGGAGTGGAAGTTCTTATTTGCAACTTTACATAAATTTGGTTTTGGGAACTTCTTCATAAACTGGCTACAAACATTATACAGTTCACCAACAGCACGTGTCAGGACGAACGACCAAATATCAGCTAGCTTCTGTCTTCAGAGGGGGACCAGAGGCTTATTCACAAAGCCATTGCAAGAAGAAAAGTTGCAGCTGCACTGGTGATTTCTCAGCACTGATGCAGTTTCCACACAATTAAATGGGGTGTCACGCATGAAGACAACTGGTGCAAAAGCATCTAGTTTTCAAAGAGCTGCTCAGGTTTGTTACGCACATTTAGAACAGAGTATTGACCTTATTGTGAGAGCTGGTGGATTTATGTCTCATAACAAGAGAAAGAAAAAGACCTCCGTCACAAAAATAGGTCAGGCGTGTCAGGAAAAAAAATCTTTAGATGACTGTCTGGCATTGTTTCTATAAATGTAAAAAAAAATAGAAACTGGAAACATCTGGTTGCTTTTTGATATTAGGAATAAAAAATGAAAACAGCACTTAGAGCTTCACACCCATAGGTTAACAAAAAGAACCCAGATGCTCCAAGCCCCCACCCACCTCTGTGTGCTTTGTTAATGCGATACTAAGAGGGAGTAGAAGGTGGGTGCAGATGATGTGCAAAACACTGAGCTAAGAAACCAGGCAGATTGTGTTGTTGGTGAATCTCGATTGCTATCCCTAATCCTTTTGAAGGCATTAGAAAATATTAAACTTTATTATTTTAGAGCATCCTAATGTGGTTTTGAAGTTTGTAAAGTTCACGTTTACTTGCACAAACCAATTGGTACAGAGCAGTTGCCAACAAGGACAGTGTACATAACAAAACAATAAACACCTTTCACGCAGTGCAAGGTTCCATATGTTCTCCTTAGCCAGAGTATCAGCTCATGAAGTCCTCTGAAGACACACAGAGGCACCGTTTACACAGGAAGTCAATGCATGCATGAGTCGTGCTAGGCTGAGCGCTCATTGTGTCAAATGCTTCATCTGCTTTGCCCCTCAGGTAGATTCAAAACCGATACCTGCTGCAGGATGATGCACCACTTTCTAACGCATCAACCCATCCGAAACCACTTTACTGTAAAACCATCTGACTTAATACTCTGTGTTACTGGTTTAAAAGAAATGCGCTGCGATGAAGTAAACTAAATATGTGCACGTGTACAACAAAACTGAAGAGCTGCAGTTCTTCTGGTGTTGGTCTTTGTGAGCTTGATGGTGTGAATGATTGATCTGGTCTGCGTTCTACATCTCCACCAGAGGCTGTATCATGGTGCAATGCAGTTCAGCGACATGTCCACTGGAGCGGAGAGCCAGCCGTACTACCTGCCGCAGGTGGAGGAGGAGGTGGAGATCTCTGACAGCATGGCTGTCATCAGTGTCCCTCCCCCCCGCTTCAGGCCTGGAGACCCTGCTTACATCCTCCATGACTTCCACAGAGTGAGTAAAGGTGGAGACAGCAGTCCTGTCATGGTGGTGTTTGAACTCTCAGCTGATGATCTTGTGTGTTTGTGAGCAGAAGCTGACTGCTTATCTGGACCTGACTCTGAGGACCTGCTTTGTGATTCCTCTGAACACCTCAGTGGTGCTCCCCCCTCAGGACCTCATTGACCTCTTCTCACAGCTGATGGTGAGCGTGGTGCACTCTGTCTCACCCGGCAACAGCATCTTAGGGGACTTCAGTTCAGGGTGGTTACTTAAGTCCATGCGTTAAAGGGATACTTTGCAACTTAGTCATGTTTTAAAACAATTTTCTCGAGCCAGTATGTGCTAAAATGCTAAAATGACAGTTGCCGGTCCGGTCTGTTGGACTTAGGAAATATTGAGCTAACATACCTGGTAGGGATGAGCCAAACAAGTATCCGGTACGGATAAAGCATTTTTGACGAATACGAGCATGAAACGAGTAAAACGAGTCAATATCTGTAATCGTGCTGAAGGAAAATCCTCATTGGGTAACTGACTGTCTTCACGCTCTGTGATTGGCCAGTCACATAGAGCGCCCGCCCCTCCCTACACACAAAACTGCAGCCGGCTGGGAGCTCAGTCCGTCCTGTTCACACACACACACACACACACACACACACACACACACACACACACACACACACACACACACACACACACACACACACACACTAATCAACATTGTTTTGTTTAACTTTGTGAGGGAAAATGCCAAGAACGTTAAGAAAAAAAATCAGTTTAATCAAATTAAAATAAAATAAAAAATACATAAAGTTGTCTGGTTCTAGCATTTCATATTTCCTAGTTCCTACTGTATGAGTTCAAATGTATTAATCCATGCACTTAAATATTAATGTTCTGATTTTATTGAAACACTTGTTCTGAAATGGTTCCTTTACTATTGTGATCAAAGCTATTTAATCTCAACTCTGAGGCTGCTCTGTAAATAGTTTTCAAATAAACAATACACATATCAACTTCTGATCAATCCATATCAATTTCAGACTTAAAATAATATATTGATGTAAACCACACCCACTTCTGGCTAAACCACGCCCACTTCCTGGTCATGCCCCGCCCATTCCGAGTACAGATACAGATACCAATAGTGGTGTACTCGCTCATCCCTAATACCTGGTGCTGCAGTCTGCTTCCAGCACGTTTTCTGCATGTTTAGATCAGGAATACAGCTGATTTGTTTAATTTAGTGATGAGTCACTTCTGTAGACACTAAGGAAGGCTGGGAGACATTTCAGCTGTTTGAGGTGTTAAAAAGACAAATGCACTGTGACAAGTTTCTACTGTTCTACAAACTGACACTAGGGGGTGCTAAAAACAAGCCAAAACTGCCTAGCCTCGCTTTAACTCTAGTGGAACTCAAGGAATTTTCTAGTTATAATAATAATTATTATTATATTATTATTATTATTGTAAACTCAAAATTTACTTTAAAAATAATAATCTAAATTAGGATAATGACTTGATGTCTGTCGTGTTTAAATATTTAAATATTAGTCGTAATTGTGGGTTTAAAAATTTTAACCAACAGTTTGTTACACAATTCTAACTTCAATTCAGTTGTAGTTGTGAAACCTAATTATTTATCAAATACTCATTGTAGCAAGACTGAAAGTCATCATGTTAACTTTGAGATGTTGGATATCGTTTATAGCACAAAAAGTGTGTGGAAAAAGTAGTAATAAATGTTAGCTGCATGATTCCAAATTGTCAGTCATCGCATTACTAACACAATCAGTTAGCTCGCATAAAACCTTGACTCGTATGTGCATGTTCATGTTTCTGCAGAACATTTGTATTTTAGAGGTGTGTGTGTGTGTGTGTGTGTGTGTGTGTGTGTGTGTGATGCGGTTCTATTTAAAGCACTAAGGCTAACTTAGTTCCCTCTGTAGCATCCTGTGCATCATTGGTGTTGCTCGTGTTTGGTAATGCAATCAGAAAATGTCATAATTGGGACTGCAAAGGATTGCGCAGAAAACATGAATGTTGACACATTGTATGTTGATTTGGCGACTGATCTTTATATTTTGAGGAAGACAGAAAACGTGTAAAGATGTTGTCTGATAACCTCGTATTTTCTCATCTTTTTCTTCACTCCCTCGCCCTTTACTCCAGTCGGACTCATACCGCAGCTTCCTGGTGCGCGAGGACCTTGTTGTGACCGAGCGCATTAGTGATTTGAAGCCCCTGGGTTCCTATATCCGCCGTCTGTGTGTAGGAAAGGACACCTACAGAATGGAACGCCGTGCCAACCTGCCAGGTATGAACCGACCCATCTGAGACATTTCAACCACGTGTGCACACAGAAAGATTTTCTTTCTTGCTTGTTGTTGAGAATTGTGCCAAATCCAGTTTGCAGGTGTAACCCATTCCCTTAATTAGAATTCACAAGAGGCAAGCACACTTAATGCTTTTGTGCATATAAGTTTATCAGTAAATTTGCCCTAAAAACAAAGCACACCTGCTCCCCCGTCAGTTAGACGAACTGATGATGCATCAGGTTATTCATCTCAGGTCATACCCACCCACCTGCAGATTAACTGGCTGTGGGGGGAGAGAGTTGCCTATCAAGAGACAGCCAGTTGAAAGTGTACGCGGCTGTGTTCCACGTGACCAATCCTAAACAAAAGTGTGAAAAAGATGTCTGTTATTTTCTGACTGAAGCCACTTTTTTGCATTTTGACTAAGATCAGTTTGAGGTGCAGGAGTCTGTGAGAAACAGGTTAAATGGAAAGTTGGCCCACCGTAAGGTTTAGCAAAAACTACAAGCTACTTTAGAGTGGTCAGGTTAGTAAATTCATAGAAAGTACCACAACTACAGCTTATTTGTTTAATTTAGTGATGAACCACTCCTGTAGACACTAATGAAGGCTGGGAGACATTTCAACTGTTAGATTAAGGCAGGGGTGTCTAACTCTAATTCACACTGGGCCGAAGTCGCGGGCCAAACTCAATATTTTTTTTAAAGTGACAGCAATGTGCACATTTTCCTTTATCTACAGTAGGGTTGTCACGGTAACCGGTGTAGCGGTAAACCCCAGTACAAAAGTTGACAATAATAATAACAGTCTTGTTTTTAAAAAAACTATATTATCTCTGTGGGTTTACCGTGGCTGCGGTGTAGGCGCGGTGACCCTTACCAGCCACCGTATCATCTGCTGAAGTTGCCGGTGGCACATGCGCACTTTGTTGTTTACAACCACAACTTTCTTGAAGCTAAAGCTGAAATAATGGCCAAAGGAGGAGACGGCAGCGCTCAGGAGGACATGTATTATCCCTCAAAGAAGACAAACTGGGAAGTACGGGCATCTTTTGGATATTTGAAGAATGCCGAGGGACAGTTGATAGAAGACGGCTATCCTGTTTGCAGCACGTGCAGAAAAAGTGTCTGTGAAAGGCAGCAACGCTTCAAATCTCATGACACATCTGCGTGACCATCACCCACAACTCTACAGTCACCGCAAGGCAAGCTAACGTTAGCGTTTTAGCTAAAATGCGTGATCCGAGGATTTGGGTTGAGGGAGAATGCAACGAGTCGCTATATAAAGTAGGGCTGCAGCTATCGAATATTTTCGTAATCGAGTACTCTATCGAATCTTTTATCGATTAATCGAGTACTCTAATAAATGACCCTTTTGTGTTTGTAAACCATTATATCAAATAGCATGTTATAAAATATGAAAGACCTCTTAAAATGAGAAAGCAATTTCCAGTTATTCTTCAAGTTTTATTCAAAATTAGTTTTCAAAACTTCAGCACTTCAACTTTACTTCACAGTAAACAAATGCCTGTGCAAAAATAAGTAAACAACCTGAGCCGATTTTCCCCTCGTGCGAGAATCTAATAGCTTGCAAGCCAGACAAAAACTAGGAGGATAACTGTTGGTAACACAGCGAGTGGCTGCGGCCCAACCAGAACCAGAACCGCTCCCGGCGCAAACAGCTTGCCGGCTGTTTCCCTATTAACACATGTTCGTTTTAATTTCTACACCTTTTTCTCACACAACAACTAGGATAGTTGAGAAAGCATGTTTGCCGTGGTTATGTCAAATTACACTGATCACAAAACATTTATTTACTTTCTTTCGTTTTCCTCATAAATACCCGTGTCCTCCTGCGGCGATCCCGAGGGACAACAGACATTAATAACAACACAGTAAAAAGTCTGACGTGTTGTGTAAAAATTGCTATTTTTAACACATTTTTAGGTCCGACGTGTTGCTACCAGATGACAGTGTGAGCTGAAACTGAGCGCTACAAACGAAAAAGTCGCACAGTGTCCGCAGAATATATAGCGGACCTCTGAGTCCGCTTGCAGAAGTGACATTTACATGTGGATGTTTCCTGGTCAGGTGCTGCAGCACGGAGGATGTGGTGTTGTGATAGGCTACATCCATTTTACAGGATTTACACTGGACTACGTTTTCCGCCTTACCACGTGAAAAATGCTCCCACACCTTTGACATTTTCTGTCTTTTTCGCACTCCACCGGGGTCCACATCGTCCGCCATGGCTTAAGAGAAAGTTAAGTTACATTCGCTACTCGCGTGTGCATCAGCCCAGTGGGCATGTGCGTCACTTATTTCGGTCCGGGTGAAACATGACCCCGGGCGATTGCTAAGCCATGAATTAATTAAACATGAATTAAACGAAGCCTCGAGGCAGAGAATTTGACTCGAGGCTTTTTTGTACTCGAATTATTCGAGGTGCTCGAGGAATCGTTTCAGACCTGATATAAAGCAGCCGCAGCGCCGCTACCTGCATATAAACCGTGTCGCGGACACCCCCATGTTGAAATGACGCTATGCATTACGGGGCTCCCAGGGGCAGATAAGAGTTGGTCTCTCTCCGAGAATAATTATGAATTTAACAACGATTACTGCCTGATGACAATTTCCCATATCTGCAAAGCTCACTGGAAGGACACAAACCGAGGACAATATTTTCTTGATATAGGGTTTATTACTCAAGTAAGGGTAAAAAAGTATCTGATTAGAAGGCTACTTGAGTACTGAGTATCATCTGGTCTAATATTTTTAAATGATGACATCAAACAGGCAAAAAATAAGAAGTTATGGGCAAATATAGGTATTTTAAAGACTAAAGGGGAAATATGTAAACAAATAAGCAACATCATTACAAAATAACACATTTTAGGCTAAATTTAGACACAAACTGAGGGCAATATTTCCTGACATACAGGGTTTATTTAATTGTGTGAAAATGTAGCACGTTTAAAAAAAAATACCGCGATAATACTGAAAACCGTGATAATTTTGGTCACAATAACCGCGAGGTTAAATTTTCACACCGTGACAACCCTAATCTACAGCTATGCGTGGTTGCACCTTTTCATTTGGAAACAAACCTATTTTTGCAGTAACACTGAATGTGGAATAAACTAATTATACACGAGCAAATCAATTTTAATTAAAGCACACATCAGTGTTCTTTTAAATATTTGTATTCCGTAATATGTGTATACATTCAACTTTTGTATCTTAAGTATTTCTGTTTTACATTTTCTTGTTTATTCTTATTTTTTACTTTCCTTTGTTGCTCTTTTAATGAATGCTGTCACTGCTGTGACACCAAGCTTTCCCCACTGAGGAACAATAAAGGGATTTTCTATTTATTTCTATTCTATTCTTCTATCTGTAATCTGTCCTGTTTTAAAGTAGGTGAAATATTCTTTCACAGTCCTACAACAAAAATGAATAATAGTAATTCTCTTAAATGAAAATGTAATCTCACCTATTACATTTCATGCTTTGGAGCAGAAAAAGTGCATTAAATCAAAATAATGCAAGCTCTGTTTGCACCGGTATAATTTACTGTGAAGCTCACCTGTTCCAGTCAGAAACTCCTGCATCTCTGGGGTTGGCTCTGAGCTGAGGAAGGAGTTCATCAGTGAGACTCCTGTGTTGTCCAGTTCATCTTCATCACAGAGAACAGTTGCTCACATAAGTTAGTGCTGCTGAACATGGAGAGCATCTGAGCAGCTTGACCACGCAGTTGTGTCAGTGTGGAAAGATAAACACTGCAGCACCCATAGAGTCATACTGAGTTGAGTGTCGTTAAATCATCTCGGTCTGGAAGGTCGGTGCGTTTTCTGTCAGCAGCAAACATTACTGAGCGGTTAAAATCTGCATCAATCTTACTCTTCCTGGACATTATGGGATCATTTGTGGATAGTCATTTTCACTTGTTGCATTAAGTAAACACAAATTTGGATACACTGTGACCTAGTGGTGAGCTACTGCCACTGCACTGGGAACACAATCGCCATGCATTACGGGAAATGTAGTTTATAGTCAATATATGCTTGGAAGAGGCATAGATCTATTTTAAGACACTTGAAGCTCTCGTGGGCCACATAAAATGATGCAGCAGGCCACCTCTGGCCCGCGGGCCTTGTGTCTGACACAGGTGGATTAAGGTTAAAAAGATGAATGCACAGCGAGGTGATTGGTTTTGATTTAGGCTCTACAATCGGACACTAGGGGGTGCTAAAAGCAAGCCACAACTGCCTAGTTCCCATTAGCAAAACAGTTTTGCTCAGCCCCTTTAGCAATTGGTCACACCAAGGGCTGCAACAACGAATCGATAAAATTCGATGAAGAAATGCGTTGGCAACACTTTTCGTCATCGATTTGTCGACTGTTTAAAAAACAGTGAATGCGCGCAGCTCATCTGATGCAGCATCAGAGCAGACCGAGGTAGATCAGAGCCAGAGACACATGTATGTCGCACATGTAATTATCGTGTAATGAGGACGCCTTTTACTGGCACACACTGTGCTAATCTAGGTGCTGTGGAGGCAAATAGAGAAGCCAGCAAAGACACAGAAATGGAAACGTTGGTTACGTATTGTAACCCCAGATTCTATGAGTCTAGTCGCAGCCCTTAAGCTAGCTGCTATTGGAAGGATGATCTCCGCATCAGCCTATCATGATGAGCTTAAATGTACGCCCACCAATAGTGGGCCCCCTCGTGGTATATAACCGCAGTGACCCCACTGCTCACCTCCAATGGCTCTTATTCCCATCATAACCAGTGGGGCCAGTGGCTTAAGGGCTGCGACTAGACTCATAGAATCTGGGGTTACAATACGTAACCAACGTTCTATTTCGTCTAGTCTTAGCCCTTAAGCTAGCTGCTATTGGAATAAAGCGCAGCTGGATGGGTTTACGCCCCACTGGTTAACACACCCAATCAGATCTCCTCTAGTGGGGGACGTTCAGCCTCAGACCAGGCTTAA